TCAAACAGAAATAATTATAAAATTACCCATAATCCTACAGGATTCTTTCTCTACCCAATTTCCTCATGTAACTCCACATATAAATAATTCCTTTTTCCCCCGTACCTTGATAAGCAGTAGCTGAAACTAGATCAGGATCTGGTTGGTCTCCTCTTCTAGGTTCCCCTCGGTCTTCAGAGAATGTAGAAGGAAAAGAAGTTAGAATTGAAAGAAGTCAGAACTGAAAGGTGTGTTTTTTGGGAGTGTTAGAGCACTCTATTTATAGGCATCAAGCGTTGCCGGAATGACTCGTTTCAAATTTGGAACGACCTGTTCTGGACTCTGACGACATGTGTAAAATTCCACATCCAGAACGCCCCGTTCTCAAACCAGAACGACCCGTTCTAGGGTTGCATTTAACCCATAATGGCCATATCTGGAACGGTCCGTTCCCAACTAGGGTTATAGGCCTTTTTGATGATTTGGAACGCCCCGTTCCCATCTAAAACTTGTAGACAATTTTTGTATTTTGGAATGGCCCGTTCCAGTCTGGGAATGACCTGTTTTGGGCTACTAAATCACCCTTGTTTTAGTAGTTTGGAACGGCCCGTTCCAATTTGGGAACGACCCGTTCTAAGCTACTACATAACCCTTATTAGGCTTTGGGCCTTCACACAATCCGTGAAAATCGGGCTGTTACATGTACAGTAATAATCATACTAGCTTGTTATGAAAACTAGGACTATATAATCGTTTCTTTTAGTTTGCATATATTGTATATATTAAGGGATCAATGTAACCCCATACATGAATTTATGTTTTCAGTTATATGCTCTTGAGAGATTGGAGGGTGGCGGTAGCAGCTGCAAGGATGCTAGAGTTCAGGAGGGATCATCCGGATCTAGGAGGGGAGGTTAGCAGAGAGGACCCTATGACAGGCTTGTTCAGTTTTAAATAAATATTAATAATGGATTAAGATCTCTGCAATTCTAAAACATCTGCATGATCTCAGTCATACATTTAATTTCATATATGATAATTTAAATATATAATTATATACACAAGAGAGAAAAAAAAAAAAAAAAAAGAGCTTAAATGAACGTGAGATTAAGAACTTCCCCAAACTGCATGTGATCCATTTGCTATAAAGAGGGGACATTTGACAAGTTGGTCAATTGTAGAAGGGGAAGATTTACACAAGTGAACGGCTGCTCTTTCAATTTACTTTAATTATTACTAAATTGAACCTTGCTAGTTTGATCTTACGAGACTAAAAGCAAAGTGTTGCCAACAATTGAGATTATAGATTATATATTTAGTTACACCTTTAAAATCTGTAATTTTGATTAGCTGATTTTGAATACAGTATTTATATGTTTGACATTTTTTTCTTCTCTTTCCATTAAATATAAATTATAAATAAACTTCAATTGAAAAAAAATGAAAAGAGTATTGTTTTTATTTAATAATTAGTTTAAAAAATTAAGTCCAACTTAACTTAATTTTTTTTAACTATAATTCAAATCTACATAGAATTAGTTGCTGTGAGTGATACCAACCGAAGTTCAAATAAAATTATCCCATAAATCTTATAGAAAATATTTATTTGATTTGAAAAGTAAATTTTAATTTTAATGTTGGTGATAAAACTTTATTTTTCATCTTTTAAAAACTTATAAACATTATTTTTTATATTATAAAATAAATAAATTTTGATTTTGATTCTTGTAATTTTTTTTGTTTTCATACCTCTAAAATCTAAATTGCTATGTATAGTTTCTAATAATAATTTTGAGGTAAATAAATTGCTGCAAGCTAGGGGCCGGGGGAAATAACTTTCATACAAATTAAGTTGTAAGTTTGGGTTAATTGGTAATTTATACTGGTTCAAATGTAAGTTACCTATTAACCTCCATTAGGAAGGAAGAGATAGATATGCAAGTCTATTAAATATATTGTATATGGGTTTATGGTACCCCTTGTACCTAAGTAATATAATTATCTTTGCTGTTAAAAAAATAGCTTTTATTTTAAAAATTTATTAAAAAAATTAGAAATATCAAACATCGATATGATATTAGTAATAATTGTGGGTAACATCTAGGGTTATTATGAGACCCCTTTTTCCCTTCCTTTCCCAACTCTTTTTCACTCCCATTTCCTTTTCTCTCTAGCCCAAATTCTTGTTTCTGATTTCTTTCTCTCTAGCTGAAGTCGTGGGTGCCCAAGAGGTTCCTCAATTCTTCTCCTTTCCTCAAGATTGAAGTCGTGTGGAGCTAGTTGAGTGTGGATTTCCTTTTTCCTCCTTCTTCCATTCTTTTATTACTGGAGCTCAGAATCGTCTCACCGAGATAAGGGAAGCTAGATTGTGGCTGATTATGTGAGAATGAGTTTTAGAAACTCATTAGTTGCTTGATGTTGGATGATTGAGGTGTTGAGTTGAAGAAATTTCGTTTTTGGGATTTTGGGTGAAAAATTGGGGTTTTTCTATGTTTGTGGTTGCATGTTGAAAAAGAAGGGATTTTTTAGCTGTATGGTGAAAATGTGGAATTTTGGATGGTTTGCATGTGCTTGGATTATTGGTTTATGCAGGTTTTGATGAACTTGGAAGGTTTCTGTTTGGTATCACGCTAGGCGCAGTTCTTGGCATCGGGCACGTGACCATCAGAGGGCTCCATTGGGCAAGCCCGCCGGGCGCAAGGTTGTGTGTACTAGGCGAGCTTGAGATGGGAGCCTCTGGATGGCCCACGCCGAGCGTGGTTGGACCGCGCTGGGCGCGATATCAATAAGTAACTAGCTTTTTGGGTTTCTGGTGTTGTGCTGGGCGTGACTTAGTCTCGCCGGGCATGGAGACTCCTTGGGGGTCTTTGCCAGGGGTGGCGCCGGGCGCAATTGGTATTGCGTCAGACGTGAGACCTTGGAGAGGTCTTTGCCTTCCCTACGCCGAGCGCAGGTTTGGCACGCCGAGCGTGTGAGGCTCTTTGGAATCTCTGCCTCCTAGCACGCCGGGCACAATTTGAATTGCACCGGGCGCGTTTGAGCCTTAGTGCTCTCTGGTTGGGCCACGCCGGGCGTGACCATGAGTGTGTCGGGCGCGGATGTGATCTTTATTATATGCTTATATATGCTGAGAAATGTTGATATATGTTGATGTTTGCTGAGCTGAATTGTTATTGGTGAATGTTGTTGAGTCGAATGATGATTTTGCTATGCTGAGAGTTATTTATGTTGAATTATGTTCTTTACACTGTGCTGTATAAAGTTGAGTTGTGCCGTATGCTGTATGCTGATAATGCTGTTATATTGTGTTGTGCTGCATGCTGATATAAACTGTTGTAGGCCGTAAGGCTGAGCTGTTGTAGGCTGAAAGGCTGAGCTGTTGTAGGCCATAAGGCTGAGTTGTTGTAAGCCGTAAGGCTAAGTTGTTGTAGGAGATCTCCGAGCTGATATGCGTGATGACGCATTGTTTGTTTAATGCTGCTTTTGGCTGAATGATGTGAGATGTATGCTGTGATGTGTTGTATGTTGATTCATGCTAAACTCAATGATATGCTGATAGCTGTAGCTGTTGATAGTTTATGTATTTTTATATACGTATGTTGATTCTCTTCATTAGCTTACCCTTTTTTGTTTCCATGTGGTTTGGACTGCAATGATCATACTGTGTGGTGTTGTGTGGGTTGTTGTGTGACGGTCAGGCGGGTCGTTACACTTTTTTGGTATTAGAGCTGTTCGAGTCTTTTGGGATAGTCTGTGGGGAGTGATCCTTCTAGGTTTCTATTGTGTCATATCTCTGATATGTGTTAGTATTGGTGAATTGTGGTGTTGAAGTGTTAGTAAAAGAATGTTTGAATTCTTTTAGTATGGTGAGGCCTCAGTTTGATCATATCGCTAAGGCTATGGAGATGATGGCCGTGGTGATGCAGCAGCAAAGTGCTCACTTTGCTCAGACGGAAGCGGGCAGAGCTACGACTGAGACAGCTAGACCGGTGGTCTCTTAGTATAAGAGAGATTTAGCAGATTTCAGGGGATGTTAGCCTCCTCAATTCAAGGGGGATTCAGATCCCGATATGACAGATTTGTGGTTGTGTGAGATGAGAAGATCTTCAGTGTTTTGGAATCTTCTAAGGAGAAGAAGTTGGCCTATGCAGTATACATGCTAGCAGGCGAGATTGTGCACGGTGGAGAGGCACCAGGTAGATGATAGAGAGTAGAGGCGTGGTTGTAGATTGGGATTGCTTCAAGAGAGTTTTCTTGGAGAAGTATTTCTCGGATAGCGTTAGATATGCTAAGGAGGCTGAGTTCATGAGACTGCAGCAGGGGAGCATGTCTGTTTCAGATTATGCTATGAGGTTTGAGCATCTGGCTCGTTTCTACTCTCAGGCCGTATCTGAGGCTTGGAGATGTAGGAAGTTTGTAGAGGGATTGAAGCATGTGTTGAAGGGGGTCATAGTCCCTATGTCTATAATGGAGTTTCCTGCCTTGGTTGAGAAGGCAAAGATTGTTGAGAGATTGGAGGGTGGCGGTAGCAGCTGCAAGGATGCTAGAGTTCAGGAGGGATCATCCGGATCTAGGAGGGGAGGTTAGCAGAGAGGACCCTATGACAGGCTTGTTCAGTCTCAGAGGGGTGTTGTTAGTAGGGGACCTCGTCTTGCTACTCCTTAGGGTGGAGTACAGTCAATGCAGTGTTACAGATATGGAGAAGCCCACATGGTTAGAGATTGTTCATATAATAATTTAAATATATATATTATTAAAATATAACTTAATGTGCATCCGTCCCTGCTTTTGGAAACGAAATTGACCACTTTTAAAAGTTGTCATAGATTACAATTATTTACTAATTTTAGATAAATTTTTCTAATTTTTATATTTACCATTTTTTAATAATTTTATTCCTTATTATTAATAAAACATAATATATAAGATGGCATGTACTACTCGAATTTCATGTGCACCACGCATAGTAAGATTCATTATTTTATTCGAAAAGATGCAAGTGTCAACGAGCTTTAATTTTGGGCAACACCATCACAAAATCATAGAGCATTCCAATCATACCAAAATCATTCCAAGACCATAACTTGGTAATCATGGAGTCCTTAACCATTGAAGGTGAAGGTGATGATCATAAACTAAAGGCTATTTGTCTTCCCTTTGCATCAACGAGTCACCTCATTCCCCTAGTTGACATAGCAAGGCTCTTTGCCATGCATGGTGTGGATGTTACCATAATCACCACCACAGCCAATGCCACCATTTTCCAAAGCTCAATTGATCGTGAATGTGCTCGTGGCCACTCCATTCGAACCCACGTTGTTAAGTTCCCATTTGAACAAGTTGGGTTGCCACAAGGTGTGGAAAGCTTCAACTCCAACACTCCTCAAGACATGGTCAAAAAAGTCTACGAGGGACTCTCCATTCTCAAAGACCAATACCAACAACTTTTCCATGACATGCAACCTGATTTCTTGGTCACTGACATGTTCTACCCTTGGACTGTGGATGCTGCAGCTAAGCTGGGAATTCCGAGGTTGATCTATGTTGGTGGAGGTTACTTTGCTCACTCTGCTCAGAACGCCATTGAACAGTTCTCACCACACACCAAGGTACTGTTGGGTTAACAGAAAAATGTTCATGACAAAAGGGTTGTTAACTTTTTGGCACTTTAACATCATAGTAAAATTTAATATTTGAAGATTATTCCAAAAACTCACTTTTAGGAGAGAAAAATAAGAAAGAAAAATGAAATTATAATCATACAAGTCAATTGTATTATTGAAAGTTTCTCTGCTAAATATTTTTATTTCCAATAAAACAGCCTCTTAAAAACACATTTAAATTTGTATCTAAATACACTATAAGATTCTTTATAAATTAGTTTGTAGAAGGTCACATCTATTAGTTTATGTAAAATCTTATTTTTTAAGTTATACACAAATTATTTTTAGCTTACAAAGGAACTTGATTCAATTTTTCTTCATATTTCTTCTCTTTAAGTGTATACAGAGAAATTTATCCAATGTTAGCTATGCATAAGTTTTAATTTTCTAATTAATTATTGGTTACAGGTAGATTCTGATAGCGAGAGGTTTTTGATTCCTGGGTTGCCCCACGAATTAGAGATGACACGTTTGCAGATACCGGATTGGCTTAGAGAACCAAAAGATTACAGTGATTTGATGAAGATAATGAAAGACTCAGAGAGAAGGAGCTATGGATCACTGTTCAATACCTTTTATGAGCTTGAGGGAACTTATGAGGAGCATTACAAAAAGGCCATGGGGGTTAAAAGTTGGAGTGTGGGACCAGTTTCATTTTGGGTGAACCAAGATGCTTCGGATAAGGCTGATAGAGGGCATGCCAAAGAAGAACAAGAAGGGGAAGGAGGAGGAGAAGGGTGGCTCACATGGCTTGATTCCAAGACAGAGAACTCTGTTCTCTATGTGAGTTTTGGTAGCATGAACAAGTTCCCCACACCCCAACTTGTTGAAATTGCTCATGCCCTTGAGGATTCAGGCCATGATTTCATTTGGGTGGTTAGGAAAAAGGGTGAAAGTGAAGATTGTGATGGGAATGAGTTTCTGGAAGAGTTTGAGGAGAGAGTGAGAGCAAGCAACAAGGGGTACCTAATATGGGGTTGGGCACCACAGCTTCTCATTCTGGAGCATCTTGCAATTGGAGCTGTGGTGACTCACTGTGGATGGAACACCATAATTGAGAGTGTGAATGCTGGTTTGCCAATGGCAACTTGGCCTCTCTTTGCTGAGCAGTTTTACAATGAGAAGTTGCTGGCTGATGTGCTTAGAATTGGGGTGCCAGTGGGGGCAAAGGAGTGGAAAAATTGGAATGAGTTTGGGGATGAGGTGGTGAAAAGAGATGAGATAGGAAAGGCAATTGCTGTTTTGATGGGGGGTGGAGAAGAGTGTTTAGAAATGAGGAGAAGAGTAAAGGCACTTAGTGATGCTGCTAAGAAAGCTATTCAGGTTGGAGGGTCTTCTCACAACAAAATGAAACAACTCATCCAAGAGCTGAAGTCATTCAAACTTCAGAAGATCAACCTAAAAAATGAGGCCAATGCTTAGTAAGGTTTACAATTTTAATACCATATTTTCAATTCGGTTCAAATGGCAAACTAAATCAGAATGTCTCATTCAAACAAGTGGTGTTGCTTGTTAAACTTATGTTATGGGATATCATTTAGCTAGATTAGGTTTCTTTGGCTGTTAGTCTGTTACTCTTGGTGTATTTTATAGTATATCTGAGTGAGTATCATTTAAGCAAAGCTTGTTGCAGTTTTGTTTTGTTGTTAGTGTATTATTGTAATACTTATGTTTGTGGGGATGAATTCTGATGCTTGTGTTTGTTGTGTTGCTCTTACTCCTTGTTGCAGCATTAGTTGCTCATTTTTTGCATGCGTTGGTTCATTTGTGAGGGTCCAAAATGAGGTTTGAAAACTGATGCAAATTATTAAGGTGTGTGGTTAAGCTCTAACACAAACATAACAATTATTAAGGTACGTAAGTAAAATAAATTGAATTGTTTTACTATATCAATTAAGAAAGTGAACCTAAGATTTTTATAAGATAATAATTAATAGTCTTAAACATATTTTAAACCCTTAAATTTAAGGTAAATTTATTTTTAGTCAAATTTAAAATTAATATTTTTAGTTCTTATAATTTTAAATTTTTTTTTGGTTAAATTCTTATGCTTAATTATTTTAGAGAATTTGTCATATATTATCGTACAAAATCTATATAATAGTATTTTTGTTAATAAAAGCATAATGTTTAACCCACTTGATGTTGTATAACTATCTCAATTTATTATTTTTAAATATGTTGTTGGTAATCTGAGAGACTAAATCAAAGATTTTTTAAAATTATTAGGGCTAAAAACACGATTTTAAATTTGAGGGACTAGAAACATATTTAAATTTATATTTAAACTTATAATATATATTGACATAAATATGTTTTTAGTCCTTCAAATTTAAAATCAATCTTTTTAATCCTTGTAATTTCAAAAAATTAGTCTACACTCAAATTTTGTTAGAAAATCTTAGTTGGAAAAACCCAACACAATAACAACTTAATAAAAAGAGCAATAATGTAACGAAAATTAAATCTCCTACTTGCAAGAATCAACGAGGAGCACCAACAAAATAGAAAAGAAAAAAAAAAAGATAATCCAAGCATATAAGAGACACATATTTTTAATGTGAAAAATCCCTCAATATAAAGGTAAAAATTATGAGGCGCCTAAACTAGAGAAAAATTCATTATGATCAATAAAGGGTACAAAAGAGTCTCTCATGAATGCACCAACTAATGTTTACAATCAGTCAAAATAAACCAAGCACAATTGCTTACAAATGAAAAATAGAAGATGAAAAGCCCCAAAATAAAGTTGTTACTGGGATACACTTTTCTCCAAACCTAGACTTTCTTTTAACGATCCAATAGTTGAATATGAAACACCATTTCATAAAAACCTGCTTTCCAAAACTCAGTCTGATCCAATGGTGAACGAATCTCCGATTGTAATTCAACAAACTCTATCCAGTGAATATGTGAATTGAACAATATAACTTTCTCTTTTCTCTTCTTTCTATATTTTGTTGTTGTTTTCTCTCAAAATGAGTCTCAACCCCTTTCCATTTGGTTATGTGAGACATAATGAGTTTACACATTTGGGCCTATTATGCACATAGGAAGGGAGTCTAAAATCCAACAAATTTCTCCCTCACTACTATGTGGAGATAACCGCCAAACCGGTGATTTCACAACAAACCTAAAACTTTATTATCTCTTGGTAATGTCTTAGTCATCTCATCGGTACCATTATCATCAGTGTGAATTTTGGCCAGCTCCAATAGCTTAGCATCCAAAGCATCACATATTCAATATTACTTCACATCAATATGCTTAGACTTTGAATGAAAAGTAGAATTCTTACCAAGATGAATAACACTCTAACTATCCACAAATAATAGATGTTTATCCTGGATAAAATCAAGTTCTTGCAAAAATTTCTTTACCCATAACAACTCTTTCAATACTAGAAAAGTATTGTTCAACATTATTATATCTACATTAATTCTATTAAAAAAAATGCAGTGACAATTTTGTAAATAAATAAAAAATGTAAGCATATTTACATTGGTTCTATATGAAATGATGTAAATATGAAAAATTTTACATCGGTTTTATTAGTGATCGATATAAAATTGAAGGCCAAATTTGATTGGTGTGCAAGCACACCAAACCTTCTTCGACTAAATCATGCATTCTCTCAATATTTCTTTAACTGATACAGACTCTTGTGCAAGAAGCACATCAAACCTTCTTCAACTGATACTGATTATCATTAGCGATCCAAGAAGTAGATCGTCGATCTTCAACTAACGACGACGCAAGAAGCACTGAACCCGTCTTCGACAGACATTGTATTAGGTAAACTCAGTGAAGCCTTTCTTAGTTTTAATCTTCTTGATATCAAACATAGCTTAGGAGAATCCAAAACAAAGTGAGTCTTAGCCCACAATTCCTTTGCACTTTCTTTCTTCATCTTTCTTCACAAGCCAATTGGGACTTGTGGTTTGATAATTTGGATCCTTTTTTCTAATGTGTGCTTGGTTTCATTTTAGAGGTGTGTTGATGCTATTTACATGCTCAGTGAAAGAGTATGAACTGTGAAGTTAGTGGAAACTTTGCCGATGTGATTCTTTAAAATCTTCGTCCTTATTTTTAATGAATAGTCTATCCTCTCTTGTTTTTTTTGGAGTATTTTCAGTTTTTTGTTTGGGTGATTGTAAATTGAATAAAGCCACATATTTATATTTTGAGCGAAAAAAGAAGAAACTTAATTTGCATCCCAAATGTTGGAAAAATTTTCTTAGTTGGTTTTGTCTATGAAGATGGATCAAGTTCAATTGATTAGGTACAAGCTTTTCTTGTAGAACACAAGTCTGGTGTCTAGTTTTGAGTAATATTTGTTTGAGATCCTTAATATTTTTTCAACATATGAACGTGGTTTTCGACTTTATTGAATGTGTGTCTGAATGAGACTTGTCACATTTTCTATTTTCATTTTCTCTTTACATTGTTTCTTTATTTACTCTAAATATGCAAATACTAGAAGGACTTCTTAAATTACTAGATAATAGGGAATGTGTAGTATGTATATAGTTGGATCTGAATGATCTGACCTAGATTTTATGTCAATAGAAAATTAATCAAAAAGATACTTATTGGTTCATGAAATATGAACTGTCTCTATATCATTCATTTTTTATATATTATTATTATTGTTATTTTTGTTGTTGTTGTTGCTTTTATTGTAGTCCTCAATATTCATTGAATTTTCTATGATAATTTACTATGTAGAGGGTAAAAGATGTGCTACTGTAAATCTTGGCATCTTTATATGGATGTAATGTTCAGGAATACATCAAAGTTCAGGGGGTACATATATCAAAGGTGATGTTATGTTACTAAGTATGAAAATATCACCGTGAATTTTACAAATATAAGTCATAAAGATTTATGGCTTCTCATTTTAGTTAGATCTTTTGAATTATAAGCAATTTAAATATTAACCAGGAGAGTTTGAGTTAATAAAGTAATTAAAGTGGAAGATTTTCCTTTTTTCTTCTATAATTATGTGTATTGTAGGTTGAAATCATGAAGTTGAGTTATAAATAAAGAAAATTATTGAAAGTATATTCATGAATCTTTTCAATTGCCAAGTGTGAAACATGAAGAACTGATGTAACTAACCTATCATATAAAAAATTTCTAATAGGATTAATTAACGGTAACAAACTTGACTGTAATTACTTAGGTAATTAGGTTTCTAGGCTTAGAAATTGAGAGCTTCATATGCATCTGATTCTTGGAATCTATTGATTAGGAATTTAAAGATTCATCAACCAGAGCCATATCAACCTAGAACCACATGCCGCTAACTTCTCCATTTGGGTTAGGAACAATGACAAATACAGTTTGTTTAACAATTCCCACCCTTGGCTTAGCAAAAATAGCACTAAAATCATCAACGCCTGAAAGATCAAGACCAACTGGAGATATAGTAAGATCAAAATTTTGTATGCATAAGTCCATGTGTTTTCATGTTAGTTTTTAACATATTTAGCATATGGTCATATAGTATAAACTAATAATTGGTTTTGTTTACACAATTTTGTCTGTTGATGGACGTCTTGGTGTGTGTTTGGATCTCAATTGAATGCGAATCTATCTCGCTCATTCCTTCTATGTTTATTGCTTTGGAAAATGAGAATTTCTGTTTAAAAGGCTCCAAACAGAGATCCAAACATGCCCTTAGTCATGTATTAGTTACTTAGGTGGAGTGTTTTTTTTTACAAGTTACAATGACCAGAGAATCAACATCTGTCCCTTAAAATTTAGTATTTTATTCCAACTTCTATTCTAGGTAAATTAATTATTGCAACATTTTAGGACATCTATTTTTGATGATAGGATCTCATTTTGGTTTGTTTTTATCTAATTATCTTGGTATTTAATGATATTGATTTTTTTCTTCTTCTGAATTTCATTGTTGCTTGCAATCAATTCTATTGAAAATATCTGTTTCTCTAACTTGTTTATCACCTAACAACAAGATGAATTAAAGTTTACAATGATATAAATTTTGTTTGTGTTGGAATATGGTGTTTAATTATTCAACAATGTTTTTATAAAAATAGGATGAATTTCCATTTACAATGATATTTCTATCAATTAACAACCGGATGCTCGAAGGCCATTTGAATCGGTTTATCATGTCCATTTTGATGATTCACATGAAACCAAGAAATAATGCACCTTCATTGGAAGGTTGGTTTCTTATATTAAATAGAGCACTGAACAATTATTTGAAAATTCTCAGTTTCTTGACAGTAGTAACCATTTGATTTTTCTATATAAAGAGACTTGAGCTTGGCAATAGATTGTGTTCTTAGTGGCCAAGAGGTATCATTAGAGAAAAAACCTATGTATTTTGTGCATATTCTTCTCCTTTAAATTGTTTGAGAATCTTTCAAGTTTAGGTCTTAGTTACATTCACATTCTTAAGGCCATTGTTTTTCTACTTGTATGAAGTGTTAGATGCAACATAAAGTGGCACCCAAGAAAGGAGTTTTGATCAATAAGTTGTAAATGTAAACAATTAAAAAGAAATGACTATGCTTCAAATTCAAATTTATTTCTTTTTTGTATTTTACAAGGCACATGTTATACCTATTATTAGTACTTATTATTTACACAAAAAATTATGCAATCTGATATCAATAACAAAAAAACTCATAAATTTGTTAGGAATAAGGGCTTATTACTGAAATGCATTCCAAATATAAT